ATAAATAAAAATAAAATAACCATTCCTCTACTTCTTTAAGAAACTCATGGGAAAAGTAGCTTTTGTTTTCTTGAAGAAATAGGTCACTAAATTTTTTTCTAAAAATACCTCTAAGGAATGAAGTTGCATGAATAACTTTTTAGAAAAAAAACATTGGTTTGATATTTATAGTTTTGAGTATTTTACATCTGACTTTCAGGAGGAAAAGTTACATATTTTAGCAAGTCAGCTTTGCTCTGAACATACACCCCTGAAATATCCTATTAAAAATAAGAGTTTGATTCGAAAGATTGTGACTAGAGTTTACTTTAAATAGTATTTTTTATTATTTGAAAATTTCATACATGTATACCGGTATTTTGATAATACCCACCTGAAATCTACCTCTCCAATTCCCCATGGACTCTCAAACATGTCTCCCTTCCAACTTCATGTCCTCCTCCTCATTATCATCATCATCATTATTGTTATTTTAGCCCTCTGAGTCCAGTTAGTACTGCCCATCTGTGCCTAGATGTGAGGCCTTCCACTAGGAGCTTGGGCAACCTACCAGGAGTCATACTTCTGCAGAAAAGGGACCCTCCCTCCCTCAACTGCCAATAGCTTCACAGCTAGGGCGGGACCTCGGTAGTGTTTCCCTCCTCCATCTGGAATTTGTGTCTGGCTTGATCTCATATAGGAAACCACAGCTGCTGTGAGTTATACATTCAGCAGTCTTGGTCATGTCCAAGGATAGCATCTCACAGCGCTCTCTCCCCCCAGTCTCCAGTTCTTACATTCTTTCTGCACCCCCCTCTTCCATAGTGCTTTGTGAGCCTTGACTGGGGAGGGGGCAGGTTGGTATAAATCTAACAGCCATGGTTAAGCACTTCCAGTCCTTTATCCAATGAGCATTCATTTTGTGCTGTAGCAAAGGCCATTGTTAAATAAAATATATCAGTTACTATTAGGTTTTCATGAGCAAGTGACCGCTAAAAGACACAAACATTTGACTCATGGAAATAAATTCTAAGAAAGGTACCTCTTGCTCATGCAGTGTTTTTTACACTTAACAGAGAGACCCACGTTCATTCCAGTCTGTGCCTGTCATGTCAAGTGTTACACGGATGTAAACTCTTCCAAGATGGCTCAAGGGTTCCAGATATGATGTGCAAATTCTGAACATCAGTGCTTATAATCCTAGCACTTGGCAGCTGGAGGCCAGACATCATGAGTGCACAGCCAGTCTGCAATTAGTGTTAAAAAGAAAAAGAAAATCTTTCTCGAGTCCCACCAGTATGTCCACTAGCTCTAAAAAGAACTCATAGACTTTCAGCTAAAAAACATGCCCAGCTAAAAATTAGGGCTGCCTTAGCCAGGGGAGTTGGGCAGCATGACTTTTGGTAAGCAACGAAATATACCGCTGCCAGACTCTGGGAGGGATGTTACCTCATCTGCCACAAGCCTCGGTGTAAGTGGGGATATTTGCTCCTTTTGAAAAGCAAGCCTTCACAGGTAAGAAAGTAAGAGATTGTATTGGGAGGCCATACTCACATGAGAAGCTAGGGAAAATAGAGGTTACTGAAATGAGGTAAAAGAAAAACACAAAAGACAAACCTTTGCCTTTGAACTGTGCTCATTCAGAACGAGCTTCCCCATTTTTCTTCTAGTTTTGTCCATTTGAAGAATTTGGGCTCCAAACTTAGAGAAAAGGGGCTGCCTTGTGTGCTAACTGTATTTATTTTAAAGGACTAAAGCAGTTCTGAAGGACTTGGCTACACTTCAGATTGCATTCAATGTTTCTTCTTTTTAAAAAAAATGTTATTTAAAAGCAAAATGGGCTCTGGATTCCCACAAGAGTTACGTTCAAACTTGTGCTCGTTTCTCTCTTCCCATGAAGAGAAGGGCATAATCCCGATTAAATGTGAGCCCTCCCAGGTATCTCTTAAAGTTTCAGTTTGCAAATATGGCTAAAATGCCTATTTCAAGCCCGTCTCCACAGATGCTTGAGTAAAGCAGGCTGACCTTCCAAAGTGCTTCTCTTTGCGTACTAGCACCACTGTTTCATGATTCTGAGTGACAGGCCAGTGTCTTCATGTGAAGTAAGGATATGCAGTGAGCGTTTTTCTTTTTTTCTTTTTAAAGCACTTTTGGTTTTATAAAACCAACTTCCGGGGTAAAATAAGCAGCCATCCTTGCCCCAGCGCACGGCCTTGGCAGAGCCTGCAGCAGTGATATTAGATGCTACTTCCCAGGGCCCCCAAAGTCTACTCACTTCTAGGCACCTCATCCCTTTTACTTCCATGCCTTCACTTATGCTGAGAAATATTTGTAGGAGAGGGCACAGCAGAAGATGAAACCCGGAATCTCAGGACGCTTCCACCTCCCGCGGGGACTGTTCACAGCCCGCTCAGGTGCTCCTTCTGTAAAGGCAGTGGCAAAGCAGCTGCAGACCGACCGCCATTTGGCCTCATTGGTCTTCACAATCACCCCGTGTCTGTCGTAAAGACACACTAAACACTTCTTACACACCTCTACCCCACACCCAGCCCCTCCACTGCCCAGTTACTTGAATGAGCCCGAGGAAGCTGGTGAATTCAGAGACAGAATGTGTTGCACCTCAACCAGAAGACACTTGTAGCAAACCGTATTTACGAGAAAATGAAATGACCCCTTCCCAAAAGGAACATCCTTGTCTTCGGAAGCGCCGTCTCCTTATTCTGTTTTTCTCATCTGGGCTCTCTCCCCCCATTTCTCTTTGCCTCTCCGAAAGGGAACACAGAGGCTGGAGAGAGCTTCGTCGCCTGCCCAGGAGGCATATGAATAGTGCATTAAAACAGGGTGGAAACTAATGGGAAGCCACTCCGAGGAATTCAGGCTGAGGGGATAATGGAAAGAGGCGCACACTGGAGCCAGCTAGAACTGGAATTGAACCCCAGTTCTGTCTTGGGCAACTTACTTCTCTTCTCTGACTTGCAGTTTGTTTATACAATTGAATAATGATTTCTGCCTCGCCATCATAGCAGAATTAACTGAATTATGTACTTAGGAACATGAAAATGAGTGCAGTGTTTGGCCCCACAGTTCCCTAAATCCTATAGTCCCTTCCCTCATGAGAAGAGGGGTAGAGGAGTTGTTGGGGTAGGTAACAGAGTTTTTCCTTGTTCTACTGAGAATTGTCTGTCTGTCTCTGTCTGTCTCTGTCTGTCTCTGTCTCTGTCTCTGTCTCTGTCTCTCTCTCTCTCTCTCTCTCTCTCTGTGTGTGTGTGTGTGTACATGTGTGTAGGGAGGAAGGGGTCAGGGTCCAACACAGACAGATGGAGAAGCAGTTTGAGAGAACAGAGCCTATTTTATTGCCTTGAGTTTCCTAAAATCTTTCACTACTTTCACTGTCTGTAACTCCTGGTATCAGGGAAAATGGATAACTAGGTCAAGTAGTCAGTAGATCTGGGGATTTTACCCACATGCTGATAAAGGGTACTAAAATCTCTTCCCCATGCTCCCCGTGTCCCCCAGCCCACTTTTCCCATCCTCTCCCTGTCCCCTAGCCCACTCTCTTTCCTAAGGGTACTGAGCAAGTGAACCATTTTTTCTGAGTTTCATTTTCTGTGCTGATCACTCTGTTTAGGGCCAGCACATTCTTTCGTTGCCACGTGTTAGCATCGCTGTCTCAGGAGCTGTCAGAATGAAGAATCGTCTCCTTCTCCATGCCAGACCTGAGTTGATCCTCTAAACTACAAAGATTCAGGCCTTTCTTGGCACCCAAACCCAGGACCTTGGCTCAGCTCTCACAGCCCTTTTTATCCCTTACGACGCTTATAACTGGGGTTTTCATGTTATGAGCCTAAAGTCGTATATTTGCTGATGATGCCAAGCCTCTGATCAGGTGCCTCCCTGGGACCTAAAGAGATGCTCTTAGGCTCCAACCCTGACTCAGTGATCTGGGAAGAGAATGAGGCATGAGATTTCTGAAAACAACTTTCCTCAGAATTAGGTTGTTAACCCACAGTGAAATTTACTCATGACTTTCTTCAAGATAAAAACTCCTTGTGCTTCTGTCCATAGCAAGATCTCATTATTTTATCAGTCTTTCCTTCTGGTTTATTCTTTTATTTTAGAGAAAACCAGAGATCATGTGTTTCTTTCTTTACAAAAATATGGAAAATGTTTATTTATAAAATTAAATATGATATGTAATAAAAGAACATCAGTGCCCAAACATCTTAGTCCCAAGGAAGGTATGCAATTATCAAATGCTGGTTCCACGAATATTCAAGAAGCCAATGCATAGTGTCACCAACAATACTTGACACATTTAAATGAAATTTGTTTCACTTGTTAAATAGTAAAATGAAAAAAAAAACATTTTTTTGCTTTGTAGAACAGTCTGAGTGTCACCTAAAATATCTGACACATTCCAAAAAAATTGTTTGACTTTTAAATAGGCTTAAACACAAGTTTTTTATTATTATTATTATTTTAAAGAAACATTCTGAGAAACCTGATGTTTTCACAATTATCAAAGGGGTCTAGGGCACTAAAGGGTTAAGACCCCGAAGGAGGAGGTCTGTGGGGTCAGGAAGGTTTTCTACAGGCTCTGTTGATTCTTTTAATCTTTGTAGTTTACCGTTTTCTCTTCTGTGGATATGCCATCCTGTACTCTGCCTGTCGGTACCTGTCATCCATGTCTATGGGAGGTCATTTTCAACCTAATTTGTGTATAATTTTGCTCTTCTAGTTTCAGTATCCTGCCTGCAGTTTGTAAAGGAATTATTCACATTCGTGTCAGTGTTTCTTGAATATTTATAATGTGCTGGTTACTGAGCTAGCCAAAGAAACTACATGGCCAGTTTAAAAATACTGCGTACTGCCTGCCTTTTTATCAGTTTATGATCTAAGTTGTGTGTGTGTGTGTGTGTGTGTGTGAGAGAGAGAGAGAGAGAGAGAGAGAGAGAGAGAGAGAGAGAGAGAGAGAGAGCCCGTATAGTAACTTCTTGATTTATGTTCTTTACTCCTTACAGATCCTGGACACATCTGAGGCTTGATGGGGACTTTCCAACATTCCAGTCTGCTGTCCTACAATGAAGCTCTGAGTCACTGACCCAAGTACTGGCAACAACTTGGAAGTCCAGGACAGTCAGCGTCATGCACGGTCGGTCAGTCTAACTAAGCAACAGCCTAGAGCTAGCGTGGCCTGAAACTCCAGCAAACGCTAGAGGAAGCCTCCAGCGTTCATGGAAAGAGAAAAGGAAAGGATTCCCAGCCAATCCCAACGAAGTTTCCACAGCTCCAAAGAGCCCACCTTCCTTATCCATCAGGGTGCCCTGCCCAGTGACTCTCACTTGACCCTTCCGCCAGAAACACAGTGTAGAGATCTCACCGAAAACATAAAGACCAATGCGCAGCAAAGGAGACCCGGAACAGTGATACTATCAAAACACCCAAATAGAATTATGTCAGGGAACCAGCCTAGCCCTCCGGTGATTCCATCCCGCAGGCCGGGATTCCGGATATGCTACATCTGTGGCCGAGAATTTGGTTCCCAGTCGATTGCCATTCATGAGCCCCAGTGCTTAGAGAAGTGGCGCATTGAGAACAGCAAACTGCCCAAGCACCTGCGGAGGCCAGAACCCTTCAAACCACAGCCCATCGGTGGCAGTGGCTCCTATAGCCTTCAGGTAGCCAACGAGGAGGCATATCGGAGTGCGCAGGCTCAACTGCTCCCCTGTGACTGCTGTGGCCGCACATTCTTGCCAGATCGTCTCCTGGTTCACCAGAGAAGCTGCAAGCCAAAGGGTGAGAATTCCAGAAGGCTGGGCACGGATGGTCCCGATGCTCCTACTGGTCTCAAGAAAGCTTCCAGTGGCATTCCAGCCCGACCAAGGACTCTCATCTGTTACATTTGTGGTAGAGAATTTGGCACACTGTCCCTTCCTATCCATGAGCCCAAATGCTTAGAAAAGTGGAAAATTGAGAATGACCGGCTCCCTAGAGAGCTGCGTCGGCCACTGCCCGAGAAGCCCCAACCTCTTCCAACTGGACAGCCCAGCCAAGAAGGGTCAAAAATCCCTGATGCGAACTTAGAAAGGAAAGGCGACCCAAATGTACCCACCAATTCCAAGCAACCAAGGAACATGGCGGCCCCGAGTGAGGACAAGGTAACTGGCGTCATATAAGATGAAGTAGTTGAACCGGGGACATATTGCATCTTCGAAAGGGATGAGAGAATTGTTCCGAGAGCCTGCCACATCAGCCCCAAAGATGGTTTCTCTCAAAGTCTTTCTTACTTGTGTTTTAAGGCGGTCTGTCCAAGTGGATCTCCTTTTGGACTCCGGGGTCTATGTCTCTTTTGGCAAAGTAGACCTAACAACAACACACTTGCCTGATTGGTTCATAATCCTTTTCAGTCCTACGGCCTTAAAGAGATGGACCCTTTTCCCCCCCTCTGATCCCTCACCCCAATAATCCCTGGAAGAGACTGTTACTTAAAATGAGTCATTAATGCTGTGTCTACGTTACAGAGATATAATTCCCATTCCAACAGCCAATGTTTATTGCTGGTTTATTTTAGTCGTCTACCTTAGGAATTCAGTTCTGGCAATGCTGGGTTATGCTGTTTGAGTTTATCTTACTAAAATAGAATCTGTGTCAAAAACCCCAAATGACTTTAGCAATAATTAAACACTGGGGCGCTTGCTAAGCCTATGTGCTCTGCAGATGCAGTATGGTTTTGTTTAAGGCATACATGTTATAAGCGGTGGTGGGGGTGGGAGGGTGTTAGCCCCAGGATGGATTCTGAAACAACTTGCTATGCTTGCCTGGTTCTGGGAAGTGTTCAGTTCTGTGCTGTTCTGTACCCTTTATGGAAACTCTTCATAGGGTTGGGTCCCCCAACTTCAGTCATTCTAAACAAGCAAGAACTCAGGTATCAGCTGATACGGTCAAAGTCCTTGGCATTTTACTTGGGGTCTCACCACCAGCGGGATTGCGTGGGGGTCCTTATGGAGGTGATTAACTGGACAATAGAACATGGTGCATGCTCTCTGTCCTACCATTAAATCGTGACACCAGCCTGTCACATCTTACGTGTCAAACCTGTAAGAGATGGGGGGGGGGTAGTCTTTTTCTCACGGTGATTTGAATTTCAAGAATGCTCCAACCCCCTAATCACAGCCTCTTGACAGCAGCCTTTGGCTCGATAATGTTTTTAAATTAAGTAGTTTAAAGGGAACAAATTCATACTGAAATTAAACTGGAGTCATAGGGGCACATCTTTTTTATTGTGATCTAGTTTCTCTTGCCTTTGCTTTTTATTACATTCATTGCTTTGAGGACTGTCTAGTCTTGCTCCTAGTTCCCATGACTAAAAATCACGAACTTACTGGTTTTGAAGAATCCATGGCACTGATCCTAAAGCAGAGAAGTCCGCTTAACAGACCAGACAGCTTTTCCAGTGAACACTGAAAAGAAAAAGAAAAATAAAAACGGCTAGATTCTTTGCTTGAGGAAAACCCAAACGCTTAAGTGTGCCATGAGCTCCAAGTGGGTTTCATAAACCCAATCTGCTTTTTCCATTTCCTGCCTGCTGCTTTTCTTCCAATATGTGTGGGGTCTGGAGTCAGAGAGCAAAAGAGTCTGTGCCACCAATCAACATAACCCTTCCAGCATTCGAACGTAGAGCCTGCTGCCTGATTGCAGGCATTTACCCCAAGAATTCTAATTACAGATCTAGAGCTAGTGAGGCCTATAGGCAGGAATCGTGTGTGTATGGTTGTAACACACACATTGTGCTCCAAGACTGGCGTCAACAGGCTGAGCACAGCATGCTTCCCCAGTCACCGCTGCTAAAAGAGACTGATGGGGCCCCATGGTGTCACAAAAAGACACCTTCCTTACCCACCCAGTTTTCTGGAGGAGTCAATGTCAGCAGAAGTCAGTGGTGGCTTCTCCATGATGCCTGTGTGTACGTGAGAGTCCAGGGAAGCCCCTGGAGGACTAGATGTTGTCAGTGTACACCCAAACCCTCAAAGGTCTGGCCTTGCCCACGTGTCAGTAAAAAAGTAGCACCTGTCACTATTGTCGGGGACCAGCCTTGACTGGATTCACACGTTCCAGGGTAGGAGCATGAAGATTAGAATCATTAAGCATAAAGGAATGGAGATAAAAGAGAAATGAGAGAAGAAACACAGAAGAGCATGGAGATGCACATTCAGTGATTACTGAACCTGCCTCGTGTATTTTCCACTTGCTTATATACATCACTCCAAAGGAGAAGAAGGATGCAACAGACTTCATTAACATGATAAAATGGATAAACAGAGCATCTCTGACCTTTGGCCAAGATGGACCTGATCCACCTTTATACTCAAAATACTAATTAACCACTCTAGGTCAAGACGTCTTGTTTTGTAGCCACGTGTTGTCAATAACTTTGAAAGAGCAAAAACAAGCCCGGACTCTCTGACCTCTAGTCAAGGTGGAACCGATGCACGTTTGTGGGCCCGGACACTCTGTTACCCATTAGCTGGCATATTTGGGGCCTCAGTGAAGACGCTGGAAGGTCGTCTAACCAAAGGTTCATTTTCAGACTTAAATCAAGCTTGGGTTCATTAAAATGAAGCACATTTTAGACTTCACTAAAGCACAAGATCTTTTGGAATCGGTGGCTGTTATCTGAACCCTCAGGCACTGCTTTCAAAGTGCATGCAGAAGAAAGCCTTTCCTGCCTAGTGAACCTTGCTTTCTTGGTCCCGTCGTTTGAAAGTTTAGCTTCTTTCTACCACTTACAACTTCATACAATGAGTCACTATTTTTCATAGAGTGCTGACCTCTGCATCCTTAGATTCTGGAGTTGTATCCGCCCATGATGGCAGACTGAAGCGTATATGCCTTGCTTTGTGCAGCTTGGATGCCTGCTTCCTCTTTTTCTCTTGTCAGTTGGAGCAGTTTTCCTTTGGAATTCTTGATCTGACTTTGGAGTAGCATCAGTCACTCGGCCTGATAGTCTCAAGAGGCTCAACCTGAATTCCAGAGAGGAAAAATAAGTTCACAACAACAGGCATGGTACTGGGAACACAATTTGCTCCAACTGGGTGGCAGTGACTTTTGCTGGCCAAGTGTAGTGTTGCTCAGAACATTCCTCTGCTGTAGACTGGTCCTGCCTTCCCTTCGGATACAGCTGCTGTTGTTTGCCTTCTATCAAAGAGAACCAAAATAAATGCCAGCAAGAGAGAGAGAGAGAGATCTGAGGACTCCTGGGAGATCTAAGTGGGCATCTTGCTTTGTCCTTATATGAACTCAGACTCCCTTGCTACGTATGATCTGAAATACAGAGCCAAATCTATGTTCTTTGTGATCGCACAGAAAAATTGTGAGGTGCTCTAGCAACGTTTAAGAGGAATAAAACCCTAGTGTGGAATGATGGAAAAGTGCAATTGTCCTGCAGCTGCTGCTGTCTGCCTCTATAGTGACAAGCACCACTGTGATTGTCCAGGGTCCATTGACTGACTGTGTTGTAACGACCACCATTGTGGCATTTCCTTCCTCCAAAAGAAGAAAAGCGTGGATGAGCTACACCTAGTTTAAAATTGTTATTAACTTCATTTGAAGTTTTGATGCACAGTGTGGAAAGATACAGATTATTGTTTTGATTTTACTATTGTGCTTGCTTAATCGAGTATTCTGATACTCATTTTGTAAGTGATTTTCTAGATATCTGCTGAAGAGTACGATAGAGGCTAGGATTATTCCTTATGTTAAAACGGAAAGAATAAATGTTAACAGTTGGGGGATCCTTTCAGAAGCTGATTGTTACAGCCTTTCAGTCAATTGGAACACAGGATGATAGTTAAACACATAATTATAAACCCAAACACAGCCTTTGCCCAGTGACTTTCGCTAGGTAAGGCTGGGGTGGGGAAGGTTTATTGTTTTAAGACTTTGCTGATAATACATGAACAGTTCCTAAAAACCCTGCCTTATGTTGCAAAGCAGACGCTATTTTTATTAAGGGACGTTATTATTACTTACTGTCTTTTCCGCAGAAGACTTTCTCTCTGAATGTGGCTCCGGGTACTTCTGGCATCCCCCGGGCTCAGGCTTCCACTGAAAGCTGCTCAGCCGTGCCGCTACCATCTGGTGCTGCCACCTGCTGTTTTCTTTTAATGTCGTCTGTACCATCAGATATGTGACTGCGTTTCTTCTTCTAAAAACATATTTATTTTTATTATCTTTAACTACGTGGATGTGAAGGAGTGTGTGTCTGTGTGCCTATACGTGTATTTAAGTGAAGGTCCCCAACAAAGCCAAAAGGGCTCAACCCTTCCTGCAGCTGAAGTTACAGGTGGTCGTAAGCTACCTCCTGCGGGTACAGGGAACTGAATTTGGGCCTCTGCGAGAGCAGTAAGTCCTATTGACTGCTGAGCCATTTTGCCAGCTGCTATTCCTCTTTTTTATTTTTATTTTTTTGTGTGTGAGCATTTTTCTTTCACGCATATTTACCTGGTTTGCTCAGAGGTCAAAAGAGAGTAGCAAACCCCCAGGAACTGAAGCTACAGATCGTCGTGAGCCATCACGCACATGCTGGGAATCGAACCTCAGTTCGAACAACAAGCAAGAACAACAAATGACCTTAACCACAGAGTCATCTCAACAGCTCCTCCAGCCTCTCCCCCCCCCCCTTATAACTTCCAAAATTTGGAGAAGGTACCATTGTAATACAACCAAAAACTTCAGTTATTTGGTCCTATGGTTATATTAGATGTGAAGTTAGAGGTGCCATTTTCTGGGGGGAAGTATCTCATTCCTTGAAGCAAAATATCTGATGGGACCATCACAACAAGGAAGGCAGGGCAGAATTCTCATCTCTGTGAATGCGCATCTGTTAAACAGAAAGAATATGGGAGCTTAGGGACAGGAATGAAAAAATATGAACCAGTTTTACTCAGTATTTTATGTATGCATCCATGTTACTATGACAACCGCCTAAGACAGAGTCACTTATGAAGAATATTCATTCTCACATTCTGCGGACAAGACAAGATCAAGGCACCAGCAGCACCTCTGTCTTAAAAGGAATGTTCTCTTGTGTCCAAGATGGCGCAGTATGCCGCTCCTCTGCAGGGAGCAATGCTTGTCTTCACAACAGGAAAACAACGGA